AGTATGTATAGCCTCCCTTATCCGTTCTCCATATAATGTATTTAATTTCAGAACGATCAAGAGGGGCATTAGAGTCATGTCTTCTTTTAAGTATAATCTCGGTAGTCGGAATCCGACTAGTGCCTATATTTAAAGCACTAGAACCGTCGAGATTATTGACCTCATAGGTTCCACTTTTAGTGTCGGCTACAGAGATAATGTATTGTCCTATCAATTTACGTTGACGAATGTTAACTCTGTTTCCAACCTGATACTCTGCTATCTTTTTGGTAGCATTACATCTATTTTGCCTTTTTAATAAGGTCACATTACGTTTCTCTTGCAAGCAAGGATATACAACGTTGTAATTACGTTGTACCTTCTCTAACCGTGGTAACTCATGGTGATTAGGCTCGTACTTGTTAAAAGGTATTTGTAACTCACTATATCAGCCACGAAAATAGTGAGCGGGTGTTGTACCTGTAACCGGATCCGCACACTTGTTCATCTGTGTTTGTACCCACTTGAGGTGGTACGGCCAATCATCTGTTTCATCCGTTAATACAGTACGTAAGAAGAACTTAAGTCTTCTATGGCGCGTTTCATTCGCGCCTTGTGTTTGCGGTTTATATGGTACACCCCTTTTATGGCACATGCCTGATACGAGTACTAACGATTCCATTACGTCATCGCAGAACTCGCTACCGTTATCAGTCCACATTATACCCGACCACCCGTGGTCAGCAAAAACTTGGCAACATAATTTTGCCACGGTCTGCGTACTCTTGTCCTTTAAAGGATAGAGCAAGTTATATCGTGACGCCACATCAAAGAAGTGACATACGCAACGGTCGCCTGTGTCTTCGGACGTAGGCAGGTCAACCAGATCAATGATGACCCTGCGCCATGGAACATTTTGAGTCACACTCTTAAGCGGTGCAAACCCATAGCGCTTAATTTGGTTGAGATCACAGTCTGTACATGACTGATATACTCTGTCAACTAAAGTTGCCAGCTTAGGGTGCGCGATCCCATTTCGCTTAGCACCTTTCAGTGCGTCTACTACGTTCTGGTGCTTCAGCTTATGGTTTTGCGTCAGCCAAGCAAGAATGTTTTTATCATTCTGCTCCTCCAGAATAAAGGTAGGGTGTTAAGAATACACTTGCGTGGTCTTTAAGTCTGTAGTGTTTCCAGACTCCTGTCCTGTTTTCGCATGAGTGTCAAAAGTGCGCTCATGTGCGTTAGATACACCTGATTTATTAAATAGTCGCATTATATGTGTATACGCTTCAGGATTGTCTTTCATTAATCCCTTTAAGAATAGGTGTTGAAAGACCTCGGGCTTGGACTTTATGTTATTAAACAGAGTCCTAGCTAGAGACTGACGCTTCTTAACAGTGTCATTAGTAGATTGTATTTATTGTGCACAGACTTCAAGTGCTGTGTTGCCTTTGAGCTGCTTAACGTTCAATTTAGTAGAGCGGAATCTCTGATTCTTGGACCTTGTTAAGGAAGGTCTCAGAAGCAGCCCATTTGGTCGTTCCAAATGGGACCTATACGACATATTATAGTATGTCTCCAGGGTGTCTTCTGGACGGCTCGGGTACCCTGATATAGGAAAGTATCTACTTCCCTATCTAAATATATTGGCTCGCATTGTATCATGCATGTTAATGTATTGAGCCATGGATCTTTACTCCGTAACGGGCAACACAACGTGATGGTAACATTGTGTATATGAACATAATTTAGTAATTGGGCAAATAACTGAGATTAGCCCATGCTTTATGTTCGGAGAGGTCTAGTTGAAAGGCATCTCCTAAAGGATGATTTAAAGTCCTGTAACTCTTAAGTTGTGCATTATGATGTGCAGCAGACATGTCAACTGTATGTGGCCCAAATATCTTTTGAGCCAGTTCAAACCACCTGGGGTTACATTTCCAATCAGTGGCTAGTAACTCACGTACAGATTTATTAAAGTCCGGTACATAGCGTGATAACATATCCGGTAGATAAATATGTATCCTTGGTAGATGTTTGATATCAAAATGAAACTTTAATATTGTATCATGCCATCGGCTCAGTAATTGAGAGTCTGGCTTCATTTCCTTCATATATTGAAGGAACTTCTGATCACACATCAGCGTAAAAGCTGTTCCGTATAAGTAATCGCGGAAATGTGTTAAAGCTACTACTATTGCTAGTAGCTCTTACTTCACAGTTGGATATTTCAACTGTGATGCATTCATTGCTCGGCTAAAGAATTGTATATACCTAGGTCTATTATTTATAACCTGGTATAGTACACCTCCGAGTGCTAAGTCTGATGCGTCCGTTGCTATTTCAAAAGGCACGCCATCGACTGGTCCTTGTACAACAGGGGCTTGTTGGACTGCGTGCTTGAGCGCTTTAAATGCGTCATCACACTCTTTAGTCCACAAGTATCCTAATTTGCCTTTATGACATCTTAAGTGTCCAAAGGGTATAAGGTAATCAGCCAAGTGTGATACGAAGTTTATAAACCCACACATGCTGTTCACATCTCTTCCTGTAGTTGGTGTTCGCCAATCTAACAGGTGTTCCACCTTACCGGGGTCGATTATAATACCTTCCCCAGATATACTATAGCCTAAGAGCTGTATTTCGCTTATGGCGAAGTGACATTTCTTCTCGTTAATATTAAAGTTTTGTTCGTTGAGTCTTTGAAGGACTCGCCTGACTAATGCGGCATGTTCGCCCTTAGTCTTAGAAAAGATGACTATGTCATCTATATAGACTTGCACGTTAGGCATGTCTGCAAACATTTCCTCCATTACTTGTTGGAAGAATGCTGGTAAAGAGTGCAACCCGAAAGGTGCACCTCTAAACCTGTATTGTTTACCTTTCCAGGTAAAACTAAAGTACTTACGATGGGGTTCATAAATTTGCATTTGATGATACCCCTGTGTTAGGTCTATGGATGTAAACACAGTAGCACCTCCCATTCGTCTCAGTAACTCGTTTATACGAGGGAGATGGAAACTATGAGTCAGCCATAACTTATCTATTGGACTCATATCTAGACATACTCTCACTTTCTTAAATGTTCCGTCAGAGATGTGTTGATCAACTGCCAATAATGCTGTTAACTGGCGTTTGTTGATAATTGATTTCGATTACCCCATCGGATAACCATTTCTCAACTTGTTCTTTAACTATAGCTTCGTGTCTCCAAGAAACATAGTTTCTTGAAGGGCATTTGAGCATAGTAAAGTCTACCTTGGTTAAGTCAAGGCTGACATATCCGTCGTTAAAACGGAATTTTGCCCAATCTGTGATCTTTATCTTCTTATTTACTTGAATCAGATCCATGATTTTGTCCGCAAAGTCAGGTATTAATGCCTTGACTGTGTCTGACGGGGGCTGATATGGTTTCAGACAGTTATCGCCTGATTGATCCTTTAATGGAACTATGTTATTTGGTAAACCAGTTACGGATATACCTAAAATAAGTAAATCACGCATTCCGACTATTAAGTCGTACTTCTGTGACATCTTAACTATCACAGCTTGGGTAGTGATATTTCTATCATTGGCCAGGGAGATTTTAACATCTGTGGCCACGAAATCGATAATAGCAAATCAAAAGAATTTGAGTGTTTCAGTTGTGATCATCGTTATAGCGGTCAATGTTTCAATGTCAACATTTTTTCAATGGCGGGCGAATTACTACCCGCCAAAATTTGGGACAATTTTAGCAGAACGACTGTCATCTGAGTACCTGTCAAATGCACCTTTCATATAAGAAAGGATACTACATAGATATATAAGTTACAACTTTAATGTTAACTCGAGGCTTAATGAAAGTTGCAACTCATAATAACGTATTGAGCTTAGCCGGGCGGGGCGGGTCGGGGGCCCCGGGCCGCCCTTGAGAATCACCGATACTTTAAAATAAATAAATCGGAGTGTATCGGTGAATTTTACCGATACCATCGGTCTGAATCACCGATAATCGGAGTGTATCCGTCAATTGTACCATATCATCGTCCTGAATCACCGATACCATTATTTTAAAATCGGAGTGTATCGGGTCAATTTTACCGATACCTGATAAACACCGATACTTTACCGATACCTGATAAACACCGATACTCTACCGATACTCGAAATTCGGCAACAAAATCGGTATTTGGGCCAAAATTTTAACCCCGAATCGATACCCCGATACTTTCTATTAGCGAAAAATATCGATATCCCGATACCCGTTACTGGGTATCGGTCCCGATTTATATCGATTTTCCGATACTGTCCGATACCGATACTTACCGATAGCCAAACGCTAATGTGATGAGCCGGGATACAGATACAACACATTGGTTATGCCATAGTTGTGATTGGTATGATATGTCCAGAGTCCAACCTCGAAAGTACATAAACGCCGAATGTGGTCATGATAGTCAGTAAAACAACATCTTGCATCATTATCTCTGCCGGAAGATTTTCTACCCGCAACAACCTCATTCCAAATCAACATTCCTGACCCAAACGGCAAGCATATTCGACCCCGTAACACCACACACATACTTCTCCGACGGAGAAATGGCTATGCACCGCAGAGGCATTCTTAGACCCGGATTGTCGTATTGCAATACCTAACACGAGTATAGGAAAGGAACAAATTAGAAACCGCCTACCACAGGGGACTCAAAGTGTTGCATCATATTTTGGTAAATATGTGCAAATTTTCACGTTATGAACGTATACTGGGTCATGTGTCATGGTTTCAGAAACATAATACACCAAACCATTTCTCAATTTTACGAGAACATGTTTTATCTTGTTTAAACAATCACAGGTCACAAGATTTAACGGTGTTTGATTGGAGTACACAAGGAAGGGCAAATGAACGATCGGGAAAAAACGAATCTGTAATTGATCTGAACCCTCCCCCCCCATAAAAAGTTTTCTTTAGACCCCATCTTACCAGACAGTACTGCGTGAAATGTAGTCACCCATGCCATTCGAGGCTGCCGCGAACGCAACACATCACGTTCCGTACATCTTTATACGGACAACGCATTATTCACTTTAGGCGCATTGTAAAGGTTAGACAATACTATGTATGTTCATTAAATATACACCTACACCTGACGTACAACTACTTGTTTTACCCATCTGTCAATATACATATACTATATTCAAACATAGATTTCCTAAGTGTTTACAAACGTTGTGAATGTACGCAGTTGTAGTGGGCACAGTTTAAATCTACTCAACTAACAAATAACTTGTGCATAGCCAAAAAGAAACGGGTGATACTAGTGTGATACTACATACTTGGCAAGGAGGTATCGCAAGGTAAGGACGCAGTTTGCTGGCCATGTCGTAGATTTTGAGCTTGCCATCCATATCGCCAGAAATCAAGGTTGATCCATCTTACGTAAGCAGTTTGAAAATGTAGAATGACACAGGCCAAGTAATAGCGGTATAAATACTAGGTAAGTCAATAGAACAATACATAAGAAATGTTCTCATTAGAAACTTCGATTCCTGCAATCACATCAGTCATCTCTGCAATCTTGCAGTTGAACGAGTGCCTATTAACTGTTGCATTGTACATATTCAAGAGAACCAAGCCCTGATGGCGAATACCACCTCGAAGAGTAGCACGCACATGAGAGTACTAAATAATGGGTAAAGCACGAAGAGACAAACATAGCTACATGGTCGCACACAAATCTGCACGTCCACTGTAAGCTCAAAAGCACACTGCGCACAGCTTACCATCAGTCACGGCGGCTTTGTAGAAAAATTTGTGCGATAGCGAGTGGTTAAGTATGCCATGAATGTGATCTCGTTTCTTGACCGCACGTGCATCGGTGGCTACCACATGGTCCCACAGCACAATGCGACCATCATGTGCACTCTTAGAGGCTGTTGACAAGGAGTAGGAGAATGAATTAAACATCGTCATTGTATTTGTACTGTACGAATGTATGAAGATGTGTGCGTGCATGAATTGAATATAGTTTTTATTGTAATTATTTCAGCAGGTTGAAAACCATCATGTGGGTTTATGATAGAGCTAAAAGAGTAGACAAAAATATATTTGACGAATGCGGTTTAGGAGTTCGTAAAACTGGCAAAATCAGAGGACATTGGCGATCTGCAGTCAGACAACTCTTCTACCTTCCGTATGAAATAATCAACAATTGACAAAGAGCTAGTAACATATCACAAGCGAGAAGATGAAATAGTGGGGCACCTCTATTGCCGGTTCGACACTATTTTATGCTTTGTGAAAAACTCATTTGTGAAGTACTGTATACGACGGGATTTAGTAGATCCGAGTACGAAGAGAACCACCGTTAAGGCCGCACAACTGCACACAGACCAGACTTATATATATATATACATACACACACACACACACACACACACACACACACAATATATATATATATATATATATATATATATTTACAACAGTATATATGAGAATTAACGCTCATACCGGCGTAACGTACCTACGTGGTTGTTCTTGACGTACAGAATCTGATCAATCGGACATGCTCTGTGCACCGAATCCTCAGCGTAGAGATACACCTCACTCGACGAAAAGCGATCATCTGCATACACGAAATATACGAGAAAAACGAAAAGTGTCAAAGTGCGGTGGCCGTGTGTGCACGTGTTTATAACACAGAACAACGGTTGATAGCGTGAGAACATTTATATGCGCGGCTATTGATGAGACACGACAGATGTGTTCAATTACACCCCCAGTAAATCTAGCTCAAAATAAACCAAGGGAGACATAGTTGTTGCAAGTGGAGATAAAGGTCAATTCCAAGACCGAATAGACGAGATCACGTTTGGTCCATAGTAGCATTCTTGTCAAGTATTAGGCATCTAGTATAAGTATGACAATCATACATATATACTTCAAAGTGCAACACACACAACCATTATAGATAAAATCAAACGCGCTTCGAGGAATCACGAACACGATCTCAACACGAACTCGTGTCACAAAATGGTAAGCACACTGGAGAAAGCAAAATGTACATCACATAAGCTAGGCACTGTGCAGAGTTACACACTACAGCAAACCATTCCATTCACAAACCAAAAGAGCACATATGAATGCAAGGTGTCACCCTTGTTACTATGAGCAGTCAAGCACGCACATAACAAAGCAGCGAATCCAGACTGCAAGCCTTTCAAGGCGTATAACACCCAAGTACCAATCGTTACGCACACATCCAAAACAAACATCATTCATCAAGTGTGCATAAACTTCAACTTCACCTGTTTTCACGAAGGATAGACATACCTGAATCACTGGGGGATAATTTGCTGCGCTTGGCCGGCCTGCCTCCCTGATCGTTGTCGTCTATACGCCACTTAGCGAGATACCCTAAGATTTATAATCAACATGAGATAAGACATTGGATACGATCACAGGATGGATAGAAACTCTTAAGGCCAATTGGACAAATATACAGCTATGTGTATGTATAGTTACTCGCAGCCAGATGAACCGAAATACCATATTCTGCGAGTCTCATAAACGATCGGTTATATACACACACAGATACTCATCAACATACCTTCATCCCCGCCAACAATGATAAAGGTAGAGGTCTGACTCATGCGCTCAAACGGCGGCATACAGACAGTGTATACTTTTTGCGGCAGCATTATACGACACAACCGCACAGACTCCATTGCTTCGCTCTCGCCCGGAATCGCAGGGGCACCAATTTGCCACAGATCGATCTGGTTCTCCCCTCCAACTAGGTATGTGCGTGAAAAGAAATAGTTGGCGGCAAAGAAATCAGAATTCATTCTTTTGGGAGGAGAGTTTGGCGCATCGACGAGGTTATAAAGGAACTTAGTGTTACTTATTCGCTGCTATGGCCAGACAAAGTTGAACTCACAATTCACACACACACACACACACACACACATATATATATATATGTATATATACATACATACATACATACATACATACATACACACACACACACACACACATATATATATATCCATATTGTATGTAAGGGCCATAGGGAAGGGCGGCGAATAGCACGCGTCCAATGTGCCAGTAAACGAACACTCTACACATCAGAGAGCTCCGGGCGGAACAAGGGGCGGAACAAGCACAGATGGATTTTGGGCTATCATAGAACTAACCGATACTTGCAAAAGTTAGGACATAGATAAATCTTAAACTCACTTGCGTGTATATCTATGTGCCAAGCTACCACAAAGGGAGCATTTTGAGCACTATATAATACTACAGGATAGGAAAACGCTATATCAGAGATTGCCAACACACGGTATAAAAGTGTCGCAACGTGTGTAGCGGGCAACAAAGTCATGTGTATTTGTACCTATTAACCAGTTCTTCTTGTCGGGATGTGCTTCTAGACAGACGACCTTTTCCCCATTGCCCTGTGAAATCGTGGCAGAAAAAAGGGAAATTAAACTATAATACATAATTTATTTCGAAAGGTTAGAACGATAAATCAGCTTGTACATTTCACGAAAGTAACAAAGTACTTAACATACAGTGAGAAGATCGAAGGCCTTGCGCGTCCACGGATCGACTAGGCGCACGTTGCCTGACTTTCCAGCTACCGCTAACACATGCAAGCCCGCACTACTCTTGTAACCAAGATTAGCACTTCTTCCATCCTGATATGTTGAATGGGAGTTTTTTGGGAACGAAATTCGGTAAATTTGGGTCAGAAGTCGAGTTATAGGGGGAACATTTAGGTGGCGTGGGCTTTGTGCGCACAAAGGATGCTGTATTAGGGTATGACTAGTAGACTCTGTTCAGAAATCCTAACATCAAAATGAGAGCAACAAAACTAGGAACAATTTACGTAGATATGTGCGTGATAGTTGAAGTGTGACCTCATACAAAATGTATAGAACATGTTTAGGACACATCCGCAGGTCTAAGAATGCTCGCAAAAGCCTCGTACGGCCTCGCACAATTGTACCACAGAAATTCATGATCCATTCGATGACTCATTTGCGCCACTGAATTTTGTGTACAAAATGATATTCGCCCTTCTACAACCTATAATACACTCTATAATTCCTATTCATAAAATATGTTATTGAGGGTCTTATGAGCAGTGATTCATGATACCGCTATTATCATCCTGCGGCTCAATCATTTGCCACATAATGTCTAATGAATCTTTTTTAGCGCTCGATGCTGTGAGTTGAGTCAACGATTTGCAAAATGATGCACAAAGATGGCTAGATCTAGTAAACAAAATTTTATTTATACTTTAAATGTATATGAATACATATCTGCATACATAATACCTACCTGAAGCCAAGTGAGAGCGGTCAATTGGTCGCCGACATCTGACAGCTTGAACAGCACTGAGATTGTAGCAATGTTTGTCACGCACAGTGTATGACCCCCACAACTGGCTACCACATTGTCCGCAACTGAGCACAAAAGGGATACAATAATTAGAATCCCAAGTGTTGCAGACAGAGAAAGAATCAACATAGCTAGCTTGGACCAGGTTCTGGTAAAAACTAAGAATGTGGTGCAAAGTGATCACAGCAATGTTCATGACTGTAAGTTTGGTACGATTGAAGTTGGGGCTAGTCCGAGGCATGGCTGCATCGGTTATATACACATATGGTAATACTACATGTTCTATAGTATAGGTTTAAACATACGCATATCACTACACACATATATGAATTCTGTTGAATCAGGATACAACAAGCGGCTGTACTCATGCTTACAGATACATTCGTAGTGTAGCGTGCGTATGTGGATCTTGGATGATGAGACTCTTCGCGGGAAATGAACGCAGAACGATATTTTGAATCCATTTAAGTGCATGCTTGTGCTATAAAATATCACCCTGATTGTCAATCAGTTAAGATTCGATTATTATCATTGCTTTCACATTTTGTTCATTTTGCAAGCTACAAATTGTGATGCCGTGCACATTCACACATACACCAGCGATGCGCTTAAGGAACCAGTAAGAGACAAATCAAACACCAATACATACATACTCATGGAAGCAGACAGACACGCATCTCCCCCCCCCTACACACTACTTACTTCGTTGATCCTCCACATGAGGATGGAAGGCACACGCCCACACCTCTGTACCATCGTCCCGTTCTTTGTTCTTGCCCTTGGGATCCGAATGAATGCGTAAGAGCGCCTCCATCTTCAGACCGTGTTTGAAAGAGTCGATGGCCAAAGGGGTGGCACTTGCGGCGCGTGACTTGACCTCTGCGAGGCGACGTTTCTCATCATCTGTGCCAGGAAGATATTCGATAGGCGTTTAGTCATTTCCTGGCTTCTGTGGTAACAACATAATTACGGGTGCTCGTATTGCGAAATGGTGCTAATGCGATGAACTCGAAGCACACATACTCGATCGAAAATGTGCGGAAACAGTGCGCCGAAGGATTGTTCAACAGGGACACGCACCAAACCAAAAGAAGACCTACTAGTTACCGATAAATATCACGAGAATAGAATGCACCAAGACGATGATCTCAAGAATACATACTTGATATAAAGCCACACGATACTGCGTGCAAGATGGCCACTTCAAACAGACATACTTGAGACAAAGACACAGTACGGACACAGCCAGTCGGCCTCGGGAATGGCATCCAGCACCACATCGCCACACCAGATGTGGTAGAAATCATCGCAACCATCGCACATCAGGCTGTGGCAGAAAAGGGGATACATGTAAAAAAGAATATATATCCAAAAGATAATACGATTGTAAAAGGGTGAGGGAAACAGGCTAAAGTATATTGAAAATAAATATTCAGGAGTGCGCTAAGGGATGTGCAGTAGTGGAAGGAGGACACGCGCACACATATGTGAAATATTTGTAAGTGGAAGGAAAGCATAGGTGTACCAATGTGCGAGGATATGGGTGAGAGTGTGCAGGACGTATGAGAATGTGTCCATAATATGCGATAAAGCTGGCATGTACCTACCTGGTGAGCATTTCTATGGAGTGTTGGACATCATGTTCAAAGTGTGAGTGTACATGCACGTGCGAATGAGAATGACGACATAGGGATGCAGTCATCTCTGAGCATATGCGGGTGTCGTGGAAAAAACATGCATTGGCTCTCGGAATGACCGTCATTAAGTCAGCATGCATATGTCTGAGAGCTGAGAGCGGCAGATTATCACAATACAAATAAGCACCCTGGGCGTAGATAGCAGGCAAAGATCACTAGATCGTGGAACTTCGTAGTGACGTGGCGTGTTCTGTCGTGCAGTCCTATAGAGTACAAAGTACCACATGGCAAACCAACAAGATTCTTATATTCATTCAAATCAATCAGAGGTGTCCACACAGACAGTTTCATATCGCTTACATGTGGAAATGATGTCGCACTGAACAATGGCAACGCAAACGCAGCAAACTAACAAGGATTATAATGGAGCAGTATTAAAAGTCTACATGATATAATCCATCCATGGCGTTCTACTGACATACATTTTATCGTCTGGAGAATCCAGTCCGCACACTACACACGATCCGTTGTCTGTCCGCTGTTCATAACCTATTAATGGTGACAAATGGAGTCCTGTACCTTAGCTTTGAGATCACAACAATTGTGACTTACTGATGACAGCTTAATTTGTGGGTAGAATTTGTTGCGCACAAGAAATGCGAGCTAAGTAAGGTCCACTAAAGCACGGGAAAGGTGTGATACCATACGCAGATTGTCTGCTGTAACTATTGTATGACAGTTGTATACCGTGTCGGCACAACATATATATTGACAGGAGAAAATATAGTGTGAATATGGGAGCATGAGTTTCATATAATTCGAAAATTAAGTATGCATTGGAGAACATCAATCACTCACCATTGAAGTTTTCAATGGTTGGATTGTACTTCTTGGCGTCCTTTTTGATCACACTCGCCAGTTCTGAAAAAGATTGAGACGAATATACAGAGATGTCAGTTATGTGCAATGCAAATTCATACTAAATAAAAGTTCCCAGTTCGGTATAGGTCCGTGTTTGTGCAGAAGCTACAACTCCGCTGTGTGTCCATATCCAAGCTAAAGAATGCGCAAGTCTTATGCACAGCAGTTTACAGACACTCGATATGAACTGAGCGTCCATCGGACTCGCAAACCTGCATGAAACAGAGTGCAGAGATGGAAGGTGTGTGGCAGCGAGTGAATATTGAGATGCGCACGTGTCCAAGTTGATTTGTGCGGGAATGCACATGCTATGATATCATGTGGAGAAATCAGTGAGAACTGAAACAGCCATGATTTGTGGGATATATGAATAGATATAGCCATGTGTTCTGGGATACACATTTAGTGCAGAAGTTTTAGGGTTTCCGATATACATGGTTGGTACCCTTAAGCTATTGAACCCAGCTGATTTGCGTGCAATTTGCTAAACGCATCTGAATACATACACGGGAAGACACAACGTGCAACAACTGCATGCCAGAGAGACACATGGGATGTTCATTTTCCGACTGCATAGTCTATGTGGGAATACCTGAGTGATTCAAAATGCCTAGGTGATCCGAATGGTATCCCGCATGATGTCTTCAATTATACAATATAGAATATGGGTCGTGCGTGCTGTGGTCTAAAACTATGCGCGAGCACAATAGATATGTGTAGGTATGTGTGCTGACAACTTTGTGACACGAAAGGTTGGACCGAGGAGCCCATTGCAATCAATTACAGGATAGTTACATCATCATTGCGTGGAAATGGTTTCATGCCACTTAAAAGGACAGTGCTTGATTTTGATACCGAAAAATATCAGTAGGAGGCGCGCACATATGTCAATTTCGTATTGACTGCAATGTGTGATAGAGGCTTGCTCACATTACTGAATTGCTAGATACCAAAACACATCGCCCATTCCGGGTAGAAAAATGTACTCCCAGATGCCACCGGCGGTCAAGAGACATAGCCATGCTCACAAAAAAGAATTGTGCAATAGCTCCAAGAATTGGGCTATACTAAACCTGGGCGAGAGGCAGCACTAACTTTGAGAACAAAGCATCCTTGTTGCTGCTTCCTGCACCATTGACCATACCAACTTTTATAAGCGTTCCAACTGATCGAATTGTTCTGCTATATGTCCACGATCACATGAAACCCTCAAGAATACTTTACCATAATGGACACTCATTGAACATACACACACTCACACACTCACACAGACACAGAGAGACACAGACACAGACACAGTCACAGACAGACACATACTAATATATATATATATATATATATATATATATATACTATACATATACTAACACACACACACACACACACACACACACACACACACACACACACACACACATATATATATATATATATATATATATATATATATATATATATATAGATATATATATAGATATATATGACAACCGCAAAATTGCGCATGTACGTGCATAAATGTTTTCAAATCGAATACGCTAGTAATGTCCGTGCAATTGAGTATAAGACCCAGTTGGAATGTCCTCGCGCGTCTCAATTATGTAACCTGGAAACTTACTTGGATTGCCCAGGATAATCAGAGTGGTGAGTGCCGGGAAGTTCTCTAAATGTAATGCCTCCAGCGAAGGGATGATATTATTCGATACATCCAGATACGTCAGGTTTTCGGCTTTGAAGTCTAGCTCAGTGAGCTTATTGTGAGAGAGATCCAATCGTGTTAACTTAGGCATGGTAGCCATGATCTTCGCATCAATGGTTATGAGCTTTTCTCCTTCTAAGTTGAGACTCTTGACACAGTCTACGTGCTTTCTCGCAGCTTTGTGCAGTATAAGCTGCTCCGTGAGTACTGTAGTTTCTCCATCTTGCGACATTGTGTGTAGCGAAATCAGACCGTTCTGAGAGGGTCTTCTCCGTGAACTAATATGAACTGTAAGTGTTGCTTGTGTCTGCGGTTGGCTCAAAAACGTAAGGCTTAGACGACGCTATATATCAGATATACTAATAAAAGCCAAAGAGTACTTTCTGTTTCGTATAAATGGTAGCAGTTAATCCTATGGCTATTTGTACCAGACGAGACACATTTATACCCGCGGTTAGGTTAGATAGAGTCACACAGTATATATCTAAATAGATAGACTGACTTCTGTGTCCCTGATTTATTTATATATTTTATTTACTATCGTGTGCTACATAAACGCATTTTTACTATCGTGTGCGGGATCTTTTATTTCGATATTTGCTGTGGCTGTGAGAACTCCTGAAAAGTGAATGGAATTCCTCCATCACGACGTACAAAAGCGCGCCAAAATCGAGTTGACTTGTGGACTGGTACTGGGTCCAGGGTACCCCGGCCCAGCGGTATGTATTTCGTTTTTATAGACTGAAAATCAGAATTATTTCATTTTAGTGGTAAGAGTTGGTTTAAGGCGGGCCTTTTGCTGTGTAGAATGTATAGGATATTGTACCGGGATAGATACAAATAAATAAACAGCTCATTGCACTAGGTTCACACTATAGCTACGTACGATTCCAGACCAAAGAATCAACTTCGGGTGTAGTAAACCAATAATTGATACAATATTGACATTCTCATACGTTGATCTGCTGTAGTAGAACACTACCGACCACACAAAGCCAGCATTGAAACATATAACAATCAGCATGTCCTCTACAGACCCAGTCACAATTGGAGGCAACACAGCTTCTGAAGTAGAGAAGACTGAAAAAAATACAGCTACAGAAATAAAGGACTCGAATAACAATGGCGCAGTCGTTGATTCAACCGAAAGTACCGAAGAGAAGGTTGAGATGAACAAAACACAGAGCGATGATACGAAGCCGGTCGGCGTAGCTGAGACGGACGATATAGGCAAAGGAAAGGCGGAAGATCAAACAGCCGAAGGTGTGGTGTGCATGGTGTATTCTTTTGGTCCTGAAATCTCACACTTGATTCTTCTCGTACTTGCGACGAATTACTCGTTTTCTACGTGTTGTGTTTTTTTAAAAGATCAATTGGACCCGACTGTATTGGCCTCCTATGCATGATAGTAGCTAGTAGGTCGAAGATTATTTCAAGTTACGTACTATGGGATCTGGATTCTAGTCATATCAACTGAGAACATGTGTACTGCGTACATTTTTCTGTAGACTTAAAAAAGGATAGCACATTCACGCTGTCTGCTTAGATTAAGTGAGTGCAGGCTTTGGCACTGCGAAAAATGGTCGGTTGTCTCAGCAGGTGTACGCGAATATATACCCTTTCAATTATTTCAGTAGTATATACTTGTCAACTGTTTTACCTCTTGAAATATTAATGGATGAGAGCCCAACTAGCTTTCGCATCAGATGGACACGCTATTTTCCGTTACCCCCCCCCCCCCCCCCTCCGGGGGGGGATAGTTGTCAAAACATTGCTGCGATAGGGATATTCTATTCTGATGTTATTTTTCTCTATTGCATCAAAAGTGGAGGAGGAACCCAAGAAACAGTACACTAAAGAAGACCTGCCCAAGGCAGATCATATCAGGCGTGAGGTATGCTAGCTTCATAGTGCAATGAACCTCACTCGTCTGTTGATGTGTGTTATAAATGTGTGTGTTACGCAACGCATGGTAGTAGTTGCGATTTGACAGTTTTGACAGGAGGACCGGCGGTAGCATGTTGATACAGATTCTCGCAACATTGCCGTATGTGATGACGATATACTTTACAGCTTTAATTTGTACATGTACACACAAGCGTTGTCAGAATACATGTGGCTAGTAATCTGGATATCGCATACGTAATCTCTGGAATTCTTTATGTGCACAGGGCTGCTTGAGAAGTCTAAAATTGTATGCCATATGCTCAGAACGAGATCCTCCTGATTAATATGCACATCCACTTGTCCGTATTTACCGTGCAAGTCCGCGTAATTGTTGGCACATATATACTGACTATCATGAAACAGACCTGTAGCTACCCGCTCTAGCACCTTACATGATAGCTTCTGTCCTAAGGCGCAATATTCCTATTACTGAGTCATACCCGTGTCACCTAGCTTGCCTACATCAGGTCAGGGCTGGGTGCAGAAACTGTCAAGTACTGTAAGACAGTGTATACCGTGGCGCACATGTTGCTATATGTTATGCAGTGTTTTGGAGCCATTCGTTTGTAGTTTTGCGTACTGTGTTTTTCCGACAAACCTGGAATGCGTGTTAGAAATTCGTCTTGTCTTTTCGGCACAACTTGCAGTCGTGCATAGAATGAAATGATCGAATTGTATATCACGGCGGAATCGCACAGAACTGCGATCTAAATGAACTGCGCTACAGGTTTGATTGTATCGAACTAAATCAACATCTTCTGCTTGTATAATCATAAATAATTCACTCCCGAACCCCTCACGATTTAGAGAAATCTTCTGACATGAAAGCATGTGACGTTTCCTGTCTTTAATACAGGCCAAGCTTCTGTACACCAACAGGGACTACAGTAAAGCCGTTGAAAAGTACGTAGAAGTGCTGGAGGTATACACGAGTGTGTACGGTGAACTAGGTGCCGAGTGCGGAGAGTTGTTCCTCTGGTATGGCGACAGTCTTCTGCAAGTGTTAAGAGAGAATCTGCAATTGATCGACGATTCTGAAGAGTTCGAGGTGTGTTCATAAGTGTGTGCATGTGATATTAGGGTGTATGCGTGGGACTATATCCGTATCGTCAATACATCTCTTGCTCATCAAGTATAAGTCTAGTGTGAGCTGGGTATAGGCAGCGCTTAATCGTGTAGCTGCATTTAGGGGGCGTCCTTAGAAGTTTCTCCTGCATACATATCATGTATTTCGACAACTGAAAGTCCTTGGACCAAAGTATAGGCTGATGTGTACAACCGCTTTCAAGCCCACGCATGGACATGCCATATCTCACTAGAACTTTATTCGCGGACCTGAATGAGCTCGTCAAGGTTTTCTTTGATGTTTTTTGCTTGCCCAAATATCCTCCATACTTAAACATACGGTAATCTCCAGTACAAGTGAATCAGGTCTGCAGCTCCAGCTTTTGGCCTCGCATCTCTTTCGGTGCTCTACAGGCCAATCACGCGGTTTAATACTTCCTATTGGACTGCTGATATGCTATTTTGCTTTGTAATCATCATTTTATGCGTAGGATTGCTGGAATGTGCTTGAGGTAGCACGTGTCATATTCGAACGCGATGCGCCCAAGTCCAGTATGTTGGCGATGACTCATCGCAAACTGGGGAATCTAAATAACGACGTCTGTGAAGAATATGAGAAGGTAGGTACACGTAGCCTATTAATTCGTGTACTTTACCAGACAGTCGAAGGTGTCCGGGATAGCCAGAATATATATATATATATATATATATATATATATATAAATATAAATATATATATATACATATACATCAACATATACATTATATATATATATATATATATATATATATATATATATATATATATATATATATATATATATATATATCTACATATATATATATACTAGTATCGTAAACCGGTTTGATGCTCAATTCTGATTTACTATGTACATACAGGCAATCGAGGATTACAAAAAAGCCATAGCGCTGTACGAAGCCCTCCCTGAAAAGGACGATAGAGCCGTTGCTGAACTACACTTTTTCACGGGACTATCTCATAGCAACCTGAAGGCCTTTGCCGAGGCACGGGCGTCCTACCAAAAAGCAGCCAAAATCCTCAAGCGGTGCCTTGACTCCTGCGTTCCCACGTATGTTATCATACCCTTGCCCACTCACGTAGAGTATCTACTATTGACGTACCAATTTATACTCATACTATAAACGCAGGTGTTTTTACCCCTGTCTTCTCAAGTATGTTATCACTCCCAATTCGCTCACTTTAGTATTCATACTCCTGCTTATGGCTTTCGTTATAATACCCCTGCCTTCTCACGTAGAGTAATATACGGTGATAGCCTGTGTATGGTGATTTCGAGTGTTCGATGATATTGCCTAAGTTTATATTGTTTTTTGGCCGCAGGGTGCGTTTGTGGGGCCAGTAGTTTTCATGTCACTAACTTGCGCAAGCATATGTTTTCAGACCTGCCGTGTCTAGGATCTGTAATTTAATTTCGATTTTGTTTACTGAAAATTGAATACAGCGAGACCAAAGAATTGCAGGAAATCATTGACGACTTGAATCTGAAGGTAAGTCTAGTTTCTTTATCGCTTACCTATTGACATTTGCACTATTGAAACTTAGGACGTGGCTCAAAAATGGGTTAAATTGCTTCTCACAAATCTGTAACAAAGTGAACTTTATCGCTATGATAGTATCACAACCGCAAATTTTGATATGCAAGTCGTGTGGGAAACACCTGCCATTCTCATTGAATCAAGTCACAAGAACAAAACATACCAAAAGGTACATTATTAATTCAATATGATCCATTGCACCACAGATTGAGGATACATATAGCATGGAAAAGGAGCACGCAGAGAAAGAAAAGATCGAACAGGCGGACAATGTTGTTCTGAAAAAAGCATTCCAGGACGCCATGCAAGCCGGTAATGTAACTTTACCTGGGGCCTCCATAGGCCCTTCCTCAAGCGGCGAAGGCTCGTCCTCGACTCAAGTATGTTGTTTTTACGTATGGTTCCGATATTCTCAATACAAGCATATAGGTGTGTATATCTGGAATGTTTGTATACAAGTACAAACCCAATTGTCTTTTCTGGCCTATCAAGAATTGTATCGGATTTTTCAATACCGTGTATCATCGCGCACTGGATTTTAATATCGGAAACATTAGTTTAGTACATTGGTATTGGGAATTTCTGCTAGTTCTCGTTGGTATGCATGTTCGAGCGACCTGCATGTCGTCTTCATGAAACTGAAAACGTTGCGAAGCACGCTGACATCGCATACAATCACCGATTACCACCAGTAGCGAAATATGCATACTATCACCGATTACCTACTCGAACAGCTATTGTACGGGATAAGAGTATTACCATGAATGGCCTACAGTATCAGCTTATGTCCGGAAAATGAACACTGCCACCGATTACCTACAGTAGCAGCTATTGTACGGACTGAGCATGCCATGGTCAAACTGGTTATCCGACTTTCCGACTGAAAAGCGATACCCTCAGCAAATATCCCCCCCTCTAATCTTCCCACGCATACACACACTCCCACTTCAGGAGCCCTCCCGAGCCACGGTACTAGCACCCATCCTGACCACAGATACACCCACAGCGCCCATAGTTGATCTCACTAAGCTTGTAAGGAGAGCCAAAGCAACTTCCATATCCCAGCGCAAGGACGACAATATGAGCATGATTGCCAACGCTAACTCGAGTGCCGGCGGTAGTCTGGTCGATGGGTTTGGCGATGGTTTCGCACACACAGGACCTGTGATTGATCTGAGTAGCTTTGTTAAGCGAAAGAAACCTGTTGCAGGTGCGTGTTACTGTGCGAACCTACAATTGAATGCGTCTATGCGTGTCGTATGTGTGTTGTATGTGTTTTTGTTCAGAAATTGTATCAATTTAGGCGGGAGAAGTAGGCGAGTGTCGCTAATTGGACCCGTATTGTATATACATCTGTGTGTGTGCAGGGCTTGTATCTAATATGGGTGTGGGTAAGAATTCAGAACTTGCAACTGGTATAGGCGCGGGCATATCATGAGCTTCATATGATCGGCCATCTCCCGTATGGAAGTGGATATATATTCACAAGTAATCATGGATGTATATGCTTGATTCACTTTCCCTCTGATCGACTATATACTCACTTTCACAATCTCATCTGATACCCACCCATATAGATATCAACAGTCTAGTGAAACGTAAGACACCAACGGGTGAGACCCCAACGGGTGAGAACAACAGTTCCGCGGGTAACTCGCCCAAGAAACCTAAGACAGATGTCCCAGAGACTGTGGCCCCTGGCGCAGGCGTCGATTTATAACTATTAATGTATGTTGCGTAGCATTCCCCTGTACGGAGGTTGCATTCTCTAAGACGTATAGTAGGTCCTAATTATTGGTTGAACTGAGCAGTCTGGTTCTCAGCTGTGAGATCGCATACGCTTACACGGTGGGCACTAAGGGTTGCCTATGTCATGTAGGTAGAGGTCACTTGCCTTGTCATGTGGCAGTCTATCAAGCAATTCAGCAAGTACAGGCTATCGCAGTTTAAGTAAAGCAATCGGGTAGTTTCCCATGCTTAGGGGAAACACAAATATGGAATATGTGTGGAAGTAGGCATCAACGCGCTCTTTATAGTTTATGGAAGTAGATGGCTGAGTGTGTGCGGAATGGGCTTGGTGTACATGGCGTAAACGTTCTGGCATCGTCAGTTGCATAGAGCGGGAAACGAGTTCGGCGGAATGCGCGCATGTGCTGGTGCGCAATTCACAGACGTTTGGGCGGGAGACGCGGCCAGGGCGCAAATTTCCCGCAGATGATATGCACAGAAGTAGTAGACAATTATCGAGAAGTAGTGGGAATGTTTTACTTACCAAGAGATGTGGGAGAATTACACCTTGTGTGGAGGTAGGCATCACCAACCCTTTGTTGTTGTCAGCTGCTATAGAGAGCATCGGCATGAGCTATGCAACGTACAGGGAAAGTCGATCTTCATGTACGGAAGCAAATTGGATTTGCATGCGATAGTACATAGCTCCTTATCATATACCACAGATATGGGGAACATTCAACCGCTTGTGCGTACAACAGTAGTCCAGGGCGCATAGAATGTGTAGGTATGCTTCACTGAGAGTAGTCTCTAGTACAGCGAGGAAATGCAAGCATGTATAGCCCAGCAACCATTGCCTTCGGCATGAGGATGACATAATTAAAGTTGAAGTTCATAGGCAGAAACAGCTTATGCCGCAGTGTAATTGTTTTGTTGGAAACAATGATCTTCGATATCGACGTTCGGTCAATGAAGGAAAATAGCAGACATAAGATGAAAAAGTAGACTCTTATAGATAATTACAGTTTGAGAAGTATCAGATACAAAATACATATTTCAAAGATTTCGGCACCTGAACACCATCCCACACTATTGTGCTCGATGATAGTTTGTGAATCTTTATTTACACATAAATATGCCGGGAGAATTTTACACCTACACGTCATCTCACTCTCCCATACTCGAAAGCCGACTTGTACTATGTATCCCAGCTTCACATCATATTCTCCAGGGCGGTCACCCTCTCGCCCAGTTTGATCCGCGCCTTGCGTTCCTTATGGTACAAGCGCTTGAGTTCAAGTATCTCCTTTTGCAGCTGGAAGCCATCGGGTTCTCTGCCCTCGTCGGAGTCGTCGTCTGAGCTCGAGTCCATGTGGATCATACTCTTGGATCTAGATTTGACCGAGCCTTCCCTGCTCACACCTTTCTTACCTACACTCGAGCGAAGGGGTGTGCACAGGGCGAAGACAGGGAGTGAGTACGATGCTAGTCGGATGTGGCACACACAAATGGCTCAAAGTGCAAAAAGGACGATAATGTGTACAGAATACATCCAAATATCTCGGAGACACAAGCTTAAATGATCATATATCTACTATGCATCACATAGATATAAACACATACATATATGGCCTGATATCGTAACTGTAGAACATCGGCCACAGTCCTTACCTGAATTACCCTCGGGAGGCGCTGGCCGGCCCTTATTGAGCGACGGCAACGGCTCCTCTTTCTGTGGCAAGGAACTGCTGAAGGTCTGCTTGATGCTTCCCTTCTGGCTCTGTTCTCGGTCGTGCACCGAAGTTCGGGATGACTGACTGGGGGAGCGATCTATAGCATTTTGGGGAGAGGCCGCGTCGGCTCTGTGCACACCCACAGCCGCCATGCTGCTGTGGTCGTGCGGTTCTTCGTGGGCGTGTTGACTGTGACGCTTGTGATCGTCACCGGCTGTGACATTAATGTATGTAAGTGTCAGCTAAAAATAGATGGTGGTTATTACTATTAGCGATGGAGAATTGGCATGGGTGGTATGCTCAGCAAAGTTGAGGAATAAAAGTAATCGAGTCGGAGTAGAAGGGTTACCCCCTGTACCGTCAAGGAACGTCCAGTGTATAGTGCAAAAGTGCGCAACACAGCTCTCAAACGAACCACAATAGATGGCGACTTATATCGAGTCTGTGCAAGCAAGCATTCACATGTGTGCTGGAGTGGTCGAACAATGAGCTTTCGCCGCACTTCTACCACACGACACCATCTCTCTAAACCGTACAATATTAAGTTACCTGTCGTAACAATATCTTATCTAGCACGGCTACCTTAACTAAACAATGTCTTATATCCAGATATACCTATCAACACGAGAAAATGCCGCATGCGCAAACACCACATCATTCAACCCACCTCCGCTGTTCTGTCCCTTAGCAGCGTTCTTAGCTAGCAAATCCTTCTTCCATTTAGGTACATTATCGCCGGCGCTTGCTATCGCAGCCTCTGGCATGGCCCTCATAGGTGCTACAGAGGCAAACGACATACGAGTATAGAACCTATGAGACATACGTACATACAAGGGTGAGGCATACCCGAGTACAATGATCGAGACATATGTACGTACAAAGGGTAAGGCATTCGTGCACACATAATTAAACTACATGTGTAATAACGTGTCCAGAGGAACGTGGGCCAGCACAGTTGAAGGGTACCAGGTGGCATACGCTCGTGAATGCTAGTAGGAAACATAAGCGCATGCATGCCGTGGGTATACAGACATATACATGATGTGTGTCAATTCAGGTGCAAAGAATAGAAGAAATCTCGGTAAGTCAACAGGGCATGTTATATTCAACAACCAGAAGCTAGGTAAGGCAAAGTAGGATCGAGATGCAACTTATGTTATACTAAAACAATACGAAGGAATGTAGGTTGAACTTGATATTGAAATCTCCGGCATACTCGCAAAAGTCGGACATACCCTGCTGGTGGGATAAGAAAGCAAAATATACGTATATGCAAACCAATGAACATACACACGTACACGGAGCCTAAAAACACACATGTATGAAGCTATGATAGCACATGCATGCAAACATATACCAACACAGATACAGGGCCATACAAGCAGATGTATGTAAATGATACATACACACATAAATATTAATACAAAGACTTGGAACCGTACAATAACATACATTTATGGATCTAAACACACACACAGATGCACACTAGCCTACATGGTTGTGGTTCAGGTTCAGGCTCGGGTTGTGCGGGCTCTTGTGGGAGATCCTCAACGAAATTCGACGGCAACCATCCGACTACACCGTTCAGCTTGCCTTGCCACCTGTGTGTGTAGATCAAGAATGAGTGTGGTACGTATAGCATATTACAGAAGCACTATTTCACGATAGTGAACGCATGTGATACTGTGTATATATGGTTTTTTATAGCCAGCATTGTCGCCTGTGTGTGTGGGATAATGAATTAGTGTGATATGACTGTGCTTGTAGTCTGACATGGAAAGCCTTGTTACAAAATTGTGCGTGTAAAGCAATATGTGGACCGATGTGTATATCACCTGCATGATAGATCCAAGTACATTTTCAACAACCAACCAGTTTGTGCGATTAAAATTTTGTAAACTATGAACATCCGCAGGGTATTGGTGCCCAGTAATAAACGATTTGATATTAGATTCGACCATACATATACACAGAGCGAAAGGCTGTGGTAACATAAAGGTAGGTATACATATATACATAAACATACACACACACACACACACACACACACATATATATATATATATATATATGTGTGTGTGACCAGTACGAAAGAATTTCATATAACACGCATCTGCACAGTGTTATTTTTTTGGGGGTACGTTGCATATATATATATATATATATATATATATAACATACATATACATATACATATGTATATATACACCCACCCACCACACACACACACACATATATATATATATATATATAATACGGCTACAAATCAACCCATACCCTGTCCTGTATATGTGCATCCCTGTTTCATAACACATACATTGCGCAAATCTTACCAATCTGGGTGGTCTTCTGAAACAACTTCGATAACATCGCCCTCTTGGAAGCTGAGTTCATCCGGTTGTGTCCGTTCGTAGAAGTGGTGCGCTCGGACCATTTTCGCGCCCCTCGCACCACCAGTCAACTGCGTGGTTCAGTTCAGAGAGTGTATTAAGTACAAATACAAACGTATTAAGTATACATGAAGGCAATGTAAAAGATAGAAGTATCTACGCAGGGAAGCCATATATATATATAATACATACATACATACACACACCACCACACCAACACCCATATTATATATATATATATATAAAGGGTATATATATCTGAAGTGGTGGTTTTAATATGATATAGTCTTAGCGCAGGCGAGTGTGATATTTCGTTTCCTTAATAAGTTGCTCAATCTTCAGGTGGATCAATCATAATCGAAATAGATTAACCAACACAAAATATTTACGCTAATAAATACACACATACACTTTATGAGTAGGACGCCTGAATGTTTAGATGTATCGATCCATCGTCGAATACAACTAACAACCGTGAGATTGCTGCGGCACATAGGGTAAATATGTTTATATTTACGTATTGATTCGTGATCAAGGGTGGACGAATGTTCACCATATTATATTAAATTGATTTGTGCACATACGAGAACACTTGCACAGGACTAGAGGTGTTTCTTGATCTGTATATGTGTTTATGACTATATATACATACATACATATATATATACATATATACATAGATAGATATATATATATATATATATATATATATATATATATATATATATTAATACGGCACACCACGAATATACATAGACAGGGAAAGGCTTGTCGCTTACTACTTGTGCATATCCTGGATGTAATACCCTAATAACCTCCATTCATTTCTGACTAGTCGATGAGTAAGAGAAGCACTCAAAGAAGATATTCACCATTGTCAGTATGTATATTTGCACGTACGTCTATGCGGATATGTACGTGTGCTTAATATGATCACATTTACAATACTACAGCACTCACCGACGGGGGTAGTTTGTCGCCTATAACCACCTGCATGTCCCGGAACTCCACATCTTCTGGCTCTTCCTGTTGTTGTACTGTGTGAAAAAATGTGTAGATTAGCGTCTGATGAGTTAATAAACACGCACACACACATATATATATATATAAATATGTATGTATGTGTATATTTGTAAGTGAGTGAGGAGTGAGTGAGAGAGTGTGTATATGCATGTGTATGTATTTGTATATGAATACAGATATAGATATAGATACATATTTATATACATACATATCCATGTCTGTAAATATACAAATGAAGCAAGACTGTTGCCACGCATTTACAAACGTGACAGTTGGTTGTATATAGCCACGTGCCTATACTACAACAACAACAGTGGGAGATAGCCACTATTTCATATTGGTGTGTCGTAAGTAGTTAACCACATGTACATGAACATGCGTATATAGGTTAAAAAGATTGCAACACACGAATGCGAAGACGGGAACTCATGAACCCGATATGTATACGCGCAAATATTAATATTGATATTTACATATGAAGGCGAATATATATATATATATATACATATATAATGTGTACCAAGTTGTTTAGTATCGGCCACCTCTTCGACCTCTACGAAATTAGATGGGAACAGACCCTTCTCTGTCCTGCCCGGCAGCAGGATACCTTCCATCCATCCATCGTACACGAAGTCATTGGTGATCTGCAGTTTATGAGGTATATGTATTTCGTTAATCATGAATGTTTATTTTATAACTTATCTGTAAACGATTCATTTACTATTTATTTGTTGATGTTTAATTCATTGATTCTTTCTGAAATTTATCGCGTTGCTATGGAATATGGGGTGTGTGTGGTGTAGTTTTTGGCGTAGTACAACAAATATGTATGATGTATTAGTTGGTGCTCTGTGTTGGTATTGAAAACTTATGATGCATATTGCACATAAAAACTAAGGTGTGCTATAGAAACTCGTGATATCGAGCACTTAAACTATAGTACATTTCACGTCGTATCACTAGATAAATTTACTTCGTATTTCATCTGAGAAAATGCTAGCAGGGGCGCTTGGATGAACCGAAACGAACAGCATAATACGAACAAAGCAGTGGGTATTGTGTGTAATTGAGTTGGTAGACAGATGCAGGGGACTGTGCGTGCGGAGATAATAGGTGTAAAGTGTAAACATATATATGATTTTCCTTCTACCTTAGTATTGCCCAGTAGTCTTCCCTATCTAAAGGCAAGAGGGCAAATGCGAGACATAACTCCTATTATCTGACAACGCATGGATGCAATATAAGTATATACCAAGCAGCAGAACAACCCTAAAACCCAACGTGACCTTGCGCCCAACTGCAGACACACAGTGCAGCGGTGTCCCGTATTTGACCACGTGCCAGCCTGCTGGGCCCATGTGCAAATACTCACACCCTACACATATGACATGCGTACAGAAGGTCACGAACACTGAAACCTGAACCTATACACTCACGCAGTATAGTACACTAACACAAACAACACAGTCTAAAAAACCCACAACAACACTGTCTAAACCACACATACCTCTATCATATCGCCCGCCTTGAAGGCGATCTCGTCATTGTTCTCCTTGTCATACTCGTACAGAGCGCGTGCCACTTTCACCACTAGTATACAGGGTTGACAAAGGAGAGGAGGTGTATGTATTAGAGACAAATACTGTTCACGAGCATGAACGCAAACTAATTTGAAACATACTCAGGTGAAGTGAATTAGGGGTAAGTGAGTCGGGGCCCGAGCAGGTTATAAAATACAGAGTGTATATTGCAGATCTATGCAGTCTGAAGATATACTCAACATGCTAAGTTATAGTCTCGCTCTCAAAGATATGTGTCATTTCTAGCAATCCTGAGCGTGTAGGTAATGGACAAATCGTCATCTATTAAACTACATGTAGCCAGTGTATGCCACGAAAGATAGTGCGTCAAACACTGTGTAAACAAATGGGAGTACACGCACAATACACTCAGAGATATCCATTGAAAGATCGTAATACATACATATATATACATGTATATATGTGTGTGTGTGCGTGTGTGTATACATACATACAGCAACATATACATATGCATATGC